AAGATTTGGGGAATAAGAGGATTAAAATGGGGCACAAGGCAAGGAAGACCGTAAAAACAGACAATATAAATTCTATTTTCCAACTATTAAGACATTTTCATTTTTTTTTTGAGGCAGAGGCTCATTTTGTCACCCTCAGCTCACAGCAACCTCAAACTCTCGGGCTCAAGCGATTCTCTTGCCTCAGCGCCCGAGTAGCTGGGAGTATAGGCGCCCACCACAACACCCAGCTGTTTTTTAGAGATATGGTCTCATGCTGGCTCAGGCTGGTCTCGAACTCATGAGCTCGGGCAATCCACCCACCTCGGGTGCTAGAGTGCTAGATTACAGGTGTGAACCACCGTGCCCAGCCCATTTTCAATTATTAAATAGCATTAAATTGAAGTTCCCTTCCCATTTTGAACTTTCTGTGTCTTATGTGACTAAATCTTACTATAGATGAATAGACTTTATAAGCTGCCTTTTGAAGAAAAACCTAAAACAGCCTTGGAAGTCTGCTTCTCTCTATAGCCCGCTTCTAGTGAAAGTGATCCAGGCAAAGGAGCTAAGTCCAAGAAATTGGTCTCCAATCAAGTGTGCCATGTCGATTGTCGATTGACTCTTCCTTTCATAAAAGACCTCTGTGCAGAATGGGTTCTCTCTGAAGTATCCTAAGTAAACAGGACTTCTCCCAAGATTGGTGTCAGTCCTTTCCAACCCTGCCACGGCCTTTATCAACTAAACCTATGTAATAATCTTCTAAGCCCTTTATTCTCATTTCAAGAGTGTTCTCAGCATCTTCATCTTCGCAAGAAGCTACTTTCTTTGCTCACCCTTAAGAAGCAACCTGTCTTCTGTTCAAAGCTTTGTTATGAGGTTACAGCAAGTCAATCACACCTCCAGGCTCCACTTCTAATTCCAGCTCTCTTGCCATTTCCACCACATCTGCAGTGACTTCCACAACTGAAGACTGAAACACCTCCAAGTCAACCAGGGAAACTGAAATCCATTTCTTATAAATTCCTGTTAAGGTTGCTATTTTGACCTCCACCCCTGAATCATAATGATCTTAATGATATCTAGGATAGTGAATTTTTTACAGAAGATTTCCATTTACTTTGTTCATACCCATCAGAAGATCACTATGTATGTAGCTATACAGCCTTAGCAAACCTATTTTTTAAATAAGAAGACTTGAAGTGGCTTGTCCTCCACCTTTCTCTCCTTGCACTGACACCACCCAGCCCTCATCAGCTTCCAGCCAGCCTCCTCTTTGAGACTGAACACAAGGCTTTCAATCAAGCTGCAGAGCTCTCACGGAGAGATATTTGAAGTTGATGTGGAAATTGCCAAATAATCTGTGACTGTGAATATGATGCTGAAGATCTGGGAGTGGAAGATGAAGCAGATGATGACCCAGTTCTTCTACCCACTGTTAACGCAGCAATATTAAGAAAGGTCAGTGAAGGGTACACTTGCCAAAGATGACCCTCCTCTTCCTGAGGATGATGAGAATAAAACTGAACAGGCTGCATCCCTGATTTAGACCAAGAATTCCTGAAAACTGACCAAGGAACACTTTTTAACTTATTCTGGCTGCAAACTACTTAGATAGCAAAGGTTTGCTTATTGTTACATGCAAGACTATTGCCAATATGATCAGAGGAAAACTTGTGAGGTGGAAGAAGCCCAGGTACACAAAGTGAAATGTTCAGACTGACGCCGTAACACTG